AATATGCATTCCATAAAATCATTTTCAATCTGAAACTTAGGCATTTTTTCGAAACTAAAACGAATATATTTATAGATACAAATATCATGTGTGTATGAATGAATGTGCAAAAGAAATGTCTTTGAAACATGCATACATGCATGCACATAGGGACGGTTATATATGTGATTAATCACGGAAAAGCGAAACAGGAAGCAAATTGCGTCTTACGAAAGTAACTATCTACAAGACGGCGTGGAGGTCTAATGTTAATCAGTTGATATTGTGACTTTAGTTCGATGGCACCACAAATTTCATCAGGATTCTACAGCCGGCATCGACCAAACGACCTCTAGCGGTGACCCTGCAATCAATTTTCTTCCGGGTCAACACCTTCTGCCCGAGGAACATGGCGTATTGCCACGCGTAAAAAGAAATACCAGCCACTACAGTGGTGTAATAAAATCGTGTGCGGCTGATGGCACTTTTGATCGGTTTTTATTCGTCCGTTATCTATGTATTGATACAGCGTTGCCACGGAAACAGACACGAACACTGTTTATCATGTTTACGGAATCTCACTTTTTACCTCTTTGTTGCCATCTTAGCAAGTCTGACATGTTTATTTGCATATTTGCAACAAATGCAAATAGTATCAAATGACGCTTAATGTTTTGGATGTCTGTAAATGACATACAACAAACAAGAATACACATTCCAGTTGATGCCACGGCGCAATAGATGGGTGATACGGGAGAAATGTATGACACTAAATGTCTTACACGGAATTAACATTGCATGGCTTGAGAGACTGTATCGATATGTTGACATATAATCTGTTTTTTTATCAAAAAACAATTGTGATGTCCTAAGGTGATAAAAGATGGTTCGAAAGATAATAATGTAGATTCTGCATCCACGCTAATTTTGCAACCCAAAGGAAACAGGATACATTTTTAGTAAAAATGTTATTTATAAAACGTTATTATCCTCTTCGATGGCGATATGAATTATGTAACTCATTTACCAATACCCAAAAGACCCATATGAATTTGAGGGGGGTTGTTAAGTCTTTCAGACATGTATGTGGCAATAGTTTGATTGTTACCAGACTGAGAGTGTATCATCGTACACGGATGAAGTTGGGAGTCCTTACGGGCTGATAACCGTCGCTGTAGTGTATGCAGATAATATTTATTTTACGTTGGTTAAGATTTACATTTAATCCCTCCAAAGCTAAAATGAAACTCGACATTATTACTTTTAACTGGATAATAGCAATAGGAAAAACCTTTAAGCAAACAGTATAATATTTGGAAATTAAATCAGTAAGTATTCATTCTGTTGATAGGAACACCTAGATTTTATCAACATCACTTATTTAAAGAATGGCATTGCATTTTCTGACTTGAGAATGAATTGTTGTAACGCTTGCCTATGTGTCATGTTGTTGAGATAGACTCTTTTCTCCAACTAGAGTCCTGTGGGGAGAATATGTCCCATCACCGCATACATGTGGTAAACGGTTAAACTGGGCATAGTGTGACAGGCTCTGTGAATTGGTTGACTGACTTGAATCATTTGCCAATGCCTTCAACCACTAGGTTGCGAGGGTCAGACTCTATCATTCACATGCCTGAAGTGTTGATGACAGTAGCGTTGAGCATCAGTTACTCCTCCGCCGAATTCATTCATTCATGGAGCACATGTGGACTGGGTGCAAATGTTCATCCCAGAATCGAACCTGGATGTTTGCTATGACCATGTTTTAGTTCAATCTGATCGGTAGCACTGTTTGCTTTACGACACAGTCGTCCAGATTAGCAGATGTCCGTATTAAGAGACCGCCTTCGTGGTCTGCTGGTAGAGCGTCCCCCCGGAGAGCCGAAAATCGTCGGTTCGATCCCCGGGCGCTTCATAATACCATAATACGTCAAAAGATGGTACTTATCTTGTTACCCTTCGTGGCGCTCGGCATTTTAGGGGGGAAAATGAGTGGTCGGTTCGGAGTCAGAGTGGGGTATTCATGTTGAACTGCGGCTTGGTATCTTAGTTGGTCTGCACTATAACCTCGGGATTAGTCCGGACAAGTACAAGCAGCCACACACGCACGCACGCGTGCATGCACATCGCTATATAAGTGAAATAATCTGGAACGCTACGTTAATACCCAAGTCACCTCACCTCACATATCCTCACGGTATTAAGAAATCGAATGCTACAGCACAGATTGCTAGAACCTCCATCATCTGAGAGATGCCTATCGACGAACACTACATTTAGCAATGTAAGGAGCTTAAATTTGCAGATTTTGACTTTTTCATCATATGAAGCACTGTCACGTGAGAGGGATCCATGCGTGGATACCTATAGAAGGCTTAAAAGCGTCACGTGCATGTATCCTACAAAGCAAATGTTGTTCATCATGGTAATAACTGCCAACATATGTATTAAAAGAATTGCAAACTGCCAGGTCTTTGCTTTATCAGCCAGACCATTATAAATGGTTACTTGTCCTCGATTATATGAGTATTTCTATGTTGACAATCGCGTTTAATTGAATGTATGTGGGATATCAGATAAAAGCATTCTTTAGTATTTCAGTTCCAGATGCTCATTCTTTGCCATTATCAGTGATAATCAATACAGATTATAACGGCATCTTCCTGTGAGATATGTTGACTACTGGTATCGATTACCGAGAAGACTTTGTGTTGCAAGTCTCCTAAGTTGCAAGTTGCTTTATTCTTATAGATACACAGCTACAGCGTTAAGTGACTACAAACTGCACTGACTATAATCGTCCTTGTAGATGGTTGTTAGCCGGTGATTTCACTCCCCGATGGAACTAGGTTAGCTGTCGTTCAGGATTTAAGAGATCTATTTTATCTCCCAGTCTCTGATTGTGTTGAGATGCAGTTGCTAGAATGAATGGTTTTCTGTATGTACACCGCCACCTTCAGAAATAACGTTTGACCTTAATTCTGATTATCTGAATATTTAGTTTGTTTTGTAGTCTGCCATACAGACCCTGAAACAAATATATAAAGAAAGCCCATACAAGTCTAAACACTGCCTTCTGGGCTCATTTTTATGATATTTTATTAAGAAAATTTAACAGCTGTTTTTTTCTGTAAGATATGTTCATTTCAAAGACCAGATGTTGGTCTATTTGTTTTGTTCAAACCTGGTTAGCTGATAAGCCCATACAGTATATACTTTTTATAAAACCTATGATAAAACGTACAGACGATCAAACCAATGCATTCTTATTATTTTAAAACAATGAAGTACCATTGTATGTCATATCTGTCCTGTTTATTAGGTATTTCATACTACTCAAAACAAGTTAAAGAACACCGCAATTGCAAGGCTGCAATATCAACCAGCCGTAACAAAAGTTAACTGTAGTCATAAGACAAAACGGGTGTTCTTGTGAGGAGTATATGTACATGCAAGTTGGTTCGTCCATGGAAGGGTCTTAAGCGAATATTGTCTTCGGTGTCCTGTCGTCTATGGTTTGACCTTCCACATTTGATATCACACACGCATGAACATTAAACTCCTTGCGCCTGATTGATGGGCTGTGGTAACGCTTGTGGTGATGTGCCTAACCTGGTCATGCCAAAGGTTCCTGAACCGACTAGTGTGGCTTATTAATGTTGTAAACGTAATATTGATGACAAATAGGCAACCTCCTGGCCTAACTTGATGATGTCCATATCGTATCGTTCAGCCGGCCATTCGGTTACAGATAATAGTTAATGTACACTAACAATTGGATTTATGTCATTTTTTTGTCCTGTGTTCAGTACCATTATTATGTGTTCGACAGTCCTCTCTGGTCGGGAAATGAAGCTGTGGAATTCCTCGCCAGTTTTCAACTAAATTAGATTTATGTTCTCTCGTGTCCGGGGAGGTCGAAACCTTTCCAACGTTTCCAGTTCGTTCTCCCTACATGTTTGTGAAGCATATTTAGTTGTGCGTTGTTCTTTATAGTGAGTATTTGAGTATTATACTTGTCTGTCATTATAGGATAGGTTGTTTTTTATTTATGACTTCAAACACTCACTGTTGACAACTGTTTCTCCTGTCCTGGACCGCCTCCGTGGACTAGTGGTAGAGCGTCCGCCCAGAGAACGGAAGGTCCGGGGTTCGATCCTCGGCCGCGTCATACAAAAAGACGTTAAGAGATGGTACTTGTTGTTACCCTGTCTGGCGCTCGGCATTAAGGGACTAACACAAGGACTTGTCGGCTCGGAGTCAGTATACTGTGTCTGAGTGGGGTAGTCTCATCACCTCGCCTCCCCCTGCCGAGATAGTTTAGTTGTGTATCCATTCTCAACAGAGTTCCCTAGTACACTCACAAATTGTACTACGCACTCCTCCGTTAGTGATATTTATGAATGAATGTGATTTACAGAAATATGACGTATCATTAATATTGAGCCACAAAAACATACTTTAACAATACTCATAGTATACTGACCTGTAGACGCCAGCTTATATGTATAGTGTTTTGTTTACCTGTGTGCTTGTCATGTACAGTTAGTTTTGAAATGATTATAGAAATTAAATCAACTACTCATGTAATACACATTGACACCTACTCCGGTATAGACATAAAAACCAAGAATGTCCCTTGTGAATTTTGCTAACACGTCAAAGGTCATAAAGTGTAGCACTTTGCGTGCCTCCATGTGATAGGCTGTCATTTCCCTACTCTTGTCACGACTCAGGAACTTTGGTGCAGGTGTGTACAAATAGGAATAAATGGTTCGGACATATGACATATAACATAAGAACTTATGGATAACCACGGTAGTATAAAGAACTTGTTATCCATATTTTTTGTCTAAAGTAGGAATACTTAAGTCACCTTAAATTGGCCAATGTAGCATTTCTTGATGAATCATCAGAGTTTTGATGAAACGTTTCCTTTCCGTATCCAGCACATGTACATGTAACTAGTTAATATACACAAAATGACTCATGAATAATTCTTTTCTTTTCTTTTTCAGCAATCCAAATGAGCCACGCAACCAGACATCCGTTCACGGCGGTCGTGTACGTAACCGTTTCGTAAACATCGATTGGCCAAAATTTGAGCTTGGTGATCAAAATTACCTCCAAATAGGTGGGTTCGACATTAACGAAGGAAGCGACCCGGGTTAGCATAATTAAAGTCTATTTTGATTGATCTTAACATGGTATTGAACCCAGTTGTACTAATCGATTACGCATGGGTTTCCCCTTCGCATAGGCCCTGTTTTGCATGGGGAATATTTGTCTTGTGTGGACAGTTCATTAAGACCAGTTTCTCTGTCATTATGACTTCCATCATATCTCTTTAAATGGTTGAAACGTTTCCACAACTGTACCACCTGCTCACGTAAGTACGACTGTGTCCCCGTCTGGGAAGATTCCTTTCCGGATAAGACATCAGAAATCAATCTAGGTATTTTTAATACTCACGGATTCTGGAATGTGATTATTGGGGGTTTTCCTTCATGAAAACAAGAGTAAATCACCCCGAGTTTGACTAGTTTGTATGGTTTCATTTAAACTATCTCCAGTGTTACAATAACTGGAGAGAAAACATTCACGATACATTGTCGTGAAGCGTTCCACATGCACATGAAATGGTATAGTTTAGCCCTTTGACATTTGCAGGTTCTTACTTTCTCCAGCTTTGTCTTTTCTGTTGGTAACATGAATTGCTTCGTGTCCGATGGCTATTAGTAACTTAGTAACAGTACACGACATACATGTATATATATAAAGTAATCTACACATATCATCTTCATAATTGTGTGTTCTTTGACATTAACAATCTATCGTTTCATAAAAGTTCATGTACATAAACAAGATCAATTTAATCAGGAGATACGATTCCTGAGAGAGACTTATATTTCTTATGTTGTACTTCGTCTGTTTTTATCAAATCAAAATTCATTATAATATCAGCAATGAATTCTTCAATACCTATTTGTTTTAGTCCTGTCAAAGGGCAAAGCAAATGTTATGAATAACATAATTCAAGCAATACCACTAGAATGTTAAGTGGACTCGATACACCCTCAAAATAACTGACGATGTGGTCATTAAACCATACAATATACATGATATCCTATATCCTAACATATATCATGGCAATTAGATATTTTTTATATACAATTCAGATGACAGACAACTGATTAAATATTTTTTTTATCTCTATTTCAGTCTATTTAAAGTATGTAGATTGCAATATTTGTATCCGATGAGTATTTTTCTGTGCAAGAACTGGAAGTATGATTTTGTCCTTCTGCTATTCTCGTCTATGTGTGGGCACAGTATTTTACACTCAAGGTATTATTATTATTATTATTATTATTATTATTATTATTATTGTGATGATGACGGTGAATCACATTAATAAGATGATGACATGCACATGATATTAACAAGCAAGCTACTTTCCTTTAACTACACCTCACGCATCATAGAAAATGTTTCTCGGGTAAATCGTGTGATGTTTTGTTTACAATGATAATCATACGATCCAAATGTAAGCCTAATTTCCCGAGGTACATTTTCTGTTTTAACCGTCGATTGTTTCAACCTTATTTGGCATTTCTGAGTTTGAGAATGTAGTTCAATAGCTAACAATAACATTAACAATCACATATACTCTGACAACTTAGTGTTTGTGAAAGTAGATACGAAACTCGAAAAATACATCTAGTCCCTTAAATACAGTAATGTATAACGTCAAATAGGAATCATTCACATGGGCACCCACGACAATAAACCCACAAATCTTTCACGATCAAGGGTTGAAATTGGGTTGTTGACAGGCTGCTGGAGCTGAGACGGGATGAGAGTAGAATGGGTTTGAATGTTCCATAAATATGTTCTGGGGTATGTTAGAGAGACTGATACGATATAAACTGTATACATCACCATTAAGTTGGGACATGATAAGTCAGGACTCGGAATTGTCATGATGGAACTATGGAAACAACTGCCCTTTACGTTGGTTGCTGATTTGGATCGGTTGCATTACTCCAGAAATATACCACATGGAACTGAAATGTATTCCATATATTTGGGGAAACTACAAAGGCAATGGCAACGTGAAAACAGTACGACCCATTCTGAAATGCATAGTTGGCTAAAGTGGGATAAGAACAGCCAACTGACCAATGTTTTACTTGCCCAAAGGATGCTGAATTGTTTGACATCAAAGACTAAATGTTGAAGTAACGAAACGACCATCACACGAAAACTGTAGTCTGCCATTTCCCCCATATTGATAATAAGTATATAAGTATCAGTAGTGGTACACTTAAGAAATGTTTGACCTGGCTGGTCATGATCGAGTGTTTATGAGAGCATTCCTCACGATGAGTATTGATTGCTCGTCGTCGGCAACTCTAAAGTACTGTCATGATAGAGTTAACGTTCAAAGTTTATACCAATAGTCTTGTTTCATCATATCTCTCTTCCATTTTAGGGATGATGTTTGCCGTTTGTTTTCCTAGTTTTGCTTATGGATATTGTTCCAAAGATTACTCTTCTGCCATTGTTCGAGGATGACAAAGTTATGCATTCAGTAGTGCTAGAATACCACACACCTGATTAGCAGTGGTTTTGACTGAATAGCGTTGGTTGGAGTGATGTAGAAGGTAGTTGAAAATCTAGTTCCCTAACATGCGTGATTCTAGAACCATGCTTGCATTGTATTCCCCTTGACTGTATGCCATTTGTTCCAGCGCGTCGCCCCACAGTTCGGCATCATTATCGAGCTCAGAAGTTAGCTCTGTGGCTTGATCTAATACCGAAGATCAACAAACCAACAAAGACCGGCACAGATCCAACTCAACACCTTCTGAAGGACTCCAACAACATGTCTACTTTTGACGAATTTCCGCGATTGGTCCCACCATTTAATAAGGTGTTCCCCTCTCCACCACCAATGCCGCCAATCTCGCCAACATGGGGACCGCCCAACGATGGCACATGGTCTACTACTAGTTATTACAATGGATACACAGATGAGGATCCAGATAACATTCACACAAGAGTACGACATGGTTCCACTGAGTCTGTCACAGTGCTTCACAGCACTCCTGATGGCGTTACTGCTGTTCCTGCCTCAGCTGGGCAGCCAGATCCTTCTCACAGCTCCGTCCCTTTGAGCATAACCGTTGCGGTTGGGTGTTCACTTTTGTTTCTTAACATTCTGATATTCGCTGGAGTGTTTTATCAGAGAGAGCGAATAAAAAAATTAAAAAGGAAGCAAGAGGAGGAAGAGGAGGAACAGGAGGATGTTAAGCTGGCCCGAAAATTAGAAAAGACTGTGCGAAATGCCACAGGTCCTGAGACTGTAAGTCTCATGTCAAATCCTTCTAATCATCAATCTCCTGCCAAAAATGCTCATCCACAACCGAGCCCACAAAATAACCAGAAACCAGCAATAGCAACAAAGCCACCACAGCCCCCAGGATCGGGCTACACCTACACAGCCATACCCACACAGTCGACATCACCTATGCACCGCAATGCCATGCCGCACGGCCACCCTATACCAATGAACACCTTCGGCAAAGGAAAGACTCCAGACCACCTGCAACGGTCTGAAAATGATGGCCACATTTATAAAAAGATAAATAAACCAAATTCGAGGGATATGAATGATTCAAACAATGCCATTACTATAGTTTAGTGATCGTGTAGATAGAGAAATATGAAGCAATTGACTGGACAGGTGTCAAGAAACACAGGCTTATGGCTGGCCTGAAGTGTGACTGACAAGAATGAATGGGCATCGTATGTGTCAGCCAGTGGAATTGTTTTCAGATTATGCGTCAAGGACAATGCCTGTACAGTGTGTGGCTGGTCCGATGGTTTGTAGGAACAGGTGCTAATTTCAATAACGAGGCGAGATCATGCAAATTCGTGTGACAATCACAAAAAAAGAACAAGACATCATTAATTTCATTATGACCCGAAAAACCCAAACCGTTCCCCATCCTACAGCATCAGGCATTTATACGAAACATCATGGAGGGCAACCTATAATATTTACTCGAGTACACAGGTTCCCGATAGTTTTACGTGCCATGGGGGGTTTGGTTTTCATCCAATCGTTGTGCTACCGATTCCTTACCATTACCTACAAACCATCAGAATTATCAATATACAAGCTATCACGTTCTGTTCAGATTCGTTTGACTTTGCATTCCCATAGGCACAAAATATCGTGGTAATTGGTATTCACACAGTAAAATATGATAATTGGTATTTACACAGTAAAATATGATAATTGGTCTTTTCACTGTAAAATATCATGATAATTGGTATTTACACAGTAAACTATGATGATAATTGGTATTTACACAGTAAAATGTCAGGATAATTGGTATATACACAGTAAAATAAGATAACTGGTATTTACACAGTAAAATATCATGATCATTGGTATTTACACTGTAAAATATGATCATTGGTATTTACACAATAAAATGTCAGCATAATTGGTCTATACACTGTCAAATATCACGATAATTGGTATTTACACAGTAAAATATGAAACTTGGTATTTACACAGTAAAATATGATAATTGGTATATACACTGTCAAATATCATGATAATTGGTATTTACACTGTCAAATGTCATGATAATTGGTATTTACACTGTAAAATATGATAATTGGTATTTACACTGTAAAAATCATGATAATTGGTATTTACGCAGTAAAATATGATAATTGGTATTTACACAGTAACGTATCATGATAATTGTATTTACACAGTAAAATATCGTGATCCAATAGGTATTAACACTGTAAAAATCATGATAATTGGTTATTACGCAGTAAAATATCATGATATTTGGTATTTACACTGTAAAAATCATGGTAATTTGTATTCACGCAGTAAATGCCATGATAATTGGTATTTACACAGTAAAATATCATGATACTTGGTATTTACACTCTAAAAATCATGATAATTGGTATTTACACTGTAAAAATCATGATAATTGGTATTTACGCAGTAAAATATCATGGTAATTGGTATTTACACAGTAAAATATCATGATAATTGGTATTTACACAGTAACATATCATGATAATTGGTATTTACACAGTAAAATATCAAATGAAGGTTGCAATAATTACATCAACCAACATATTTCAACACGGATAAACATTTTGGAACGTGCTGCTTGTTACATATTTGTATACATTTCTATTCCTGTTTTATTATGAATAAGAATGCGAAACGTTATCGCCAGAACATATCGCAGCAATGCTTTTAAATTATCTTTCGATAGCATTAATTTCTTCCACGCCATGGTGTAGATATAACTATATTCTATTATTAATATTGTATAGCTTTCAATGTATCAAAACAGAGATATTTGGTTCATGAAATCATGACACCACATTGCTTACTTAATAAATGAGACGATGATAATGTGATATTTGTAAAGCCGTTTTACGATTTCGTTTTATGTTTGATGAAGTATTTTACTGCCACCCAACAATGGAAAGCAATATTGACCGTTGATGTCCACTTGGTTTGATTCAGTACACAACCTTTACTTTGTGTTTGGGATGTATAGTATAATAGAAGTAGCATTACCAAAACTTGTCAAACAAATTATCGACCTGCATTCAGTGATAATGAGAGTTTGTGCACAAGCGATTCACAAAGGTTCATTTGACAAGACACACATTATCAAATGTACAGGTTAATGAACCCATGTGAGTATTGTGATCGATAAAGACAATATAGTGGAAATAGTTCATTCCATTCCCACAACTAATGTATCATATCTAATGCATTAGAAACCCGGGTGTATTTCAAATAATGTATTTTGCAGGGATCGTTGCTTGTCCACGGGATTGATAATGCACATGGTGACTTATTCAAATGGATCTTTAGTGGTTTTTAGAACTAGTCATTATCATTAAATTTCAGTACCTATGATTAATGTCTTCCCATTTTTGTGAAATATATTTTAATGTTAAGCGAATAAGTGTGGTACATTTGTCATGAGCAAGAGCGGTTGATCAGTGTGAGTGACTGTGCTCAGTAAATCTGCTACGTGTGCAGCGACATTTTTTATGTTGATATCTCCTTGAAGCTGTGAAGACGAACAAAACAGTCCCTAGGCATATGGATATAATGCGATTTCTTACATATCGATCACTGATGACGTAATGCCGAGACTGTTCTATACAGGAAGAACATGGACTAGAGAGACGAAATTGACCAGATGTCTAGATGTCAACTTGTGATATTGACAACTGCTAAAGTGTGCATTGCTCAGGATGAGTGTTATCAAAAGGGCTGATATTGACAATGAATGAGACCAGAGGATGATCCAAACTTGTGCCTTCATGTACAAAACACATTGAGAAGTATCATCGTTACTCTTTAAGAACTTATATAGTGTGAGATGACTCCTCTTGCCACAGCACGACCTCGTATATCGTATATGTTCACAATGAAATTGAAAGGTGATACATTTGTCATATTCTATTTCACGTGTAAAATAGCATCAATTGTTTGATATCCCCATCTATTTCAAAATGAAATTAAGAAATTATTTCGATTAACATCGAACATGTCGAAAAGGTGTTTTCGTGTGCGATAGACACACACGGTACCTACCATTCATGTTCATGTACTGTATTCCGAATGATTATGACATGTGGATCTCGTACGGACTTTAATGAAACATTCTTTTTATATCTCACACATGTTCTCTGTCAAACATTAACATACCACAGCATAGCTCAGACCTCCCTTCTCCAGTTTTGTTAGGCATTTCTACCAAGTACTGCAAAGGCTTTCCAGTTTATGTGTGCTACCATAGCAAGTAACGTTGCCCCATATATTCATTGACCATTTAATGTCAGACTTTTTTTTATTAAGCACTTCTTTGAAAACTTTGAATTCATGTTCGCGTTGTCATACAATGTTACATTACAAAATGTTCAAAACGGATGGCAACTTGACGTATTCTGTTTGATATTGATCACACTGAAATGAAATGTACAAAATCAGGGAGGTTGTTGCATGTATTGTTACGCGTGTTTGTTATTGTTGATATGTACATAGACTGTGGTGTTAGCATTCACGTTTCTCCCTCGTTTACCTGCTCAAATGTATATTAAGCCATTTTTCCTCACCTACATATTATGTTTCGTCTATATGAAGTCGGTACGAGGAAGGGAAGATATATGCTTCTCTACATTTCTATACATTGTGTGGTTCTCTCTTCACTGTTTTAGATGAATTTTATCAATGTTTCGCTTAGTCGTTTTTTAGATATATAATTCCCGCATGTCATTCTTAATATATTTTTTTTATTTATTTATTTATTTGTTTATTGAGTAAATATTATTTATCACCCGTAACGCACAATTTTTTGGGATAATATTTATTATCATATGGTATTCTTCTTTTATGTTTACATTTCATTTTGTCGCTTGTTTTATAAATATTTTGTTTTAGTGAGTGGCGTCGTTTTGTTATTGGCAAAAGTAATATATTGCAGGTGCTCAATATTAATGTTCCTTTTTTTGGCAAGTATGTCTTGTATTTATTTGTATTAACCAAACATTTCATTTAATTCCTTTTCCATTTTGCTGATAAAATATTCGATGAAATAATGTTAGAAAAATCACCGATGGGTTATGTAAACGTCAGTATCTCCGGATGTGGTTCTCAAGATGTTTTATTAATTTTTGTGATTGCCCATCGACTATGGAAATGCTACAAGGATACTGAATTTGTAAAGACTGTGGTTTCCGTTTTCATATCATCATTTGCTATGGGTGGGTAGTTGATGTAGAGTTTATGACTGAAGATTTACGACTATGATTCAGTGAAGCATTTCTTATAAATCCTTGTCACCCCAGTAAATAAAATGGCATATTGGATATAGTTCAATGACTATGAGAATGAAGTAGTGTTTTTTTCCGCCAAGTGGTTTGGCATTAGAAAAAAGCTAATATTCTGTATATTTTGTATGATTTGAATTTCCATGAGTGTGTCTGTTCGCTGTTTTCATAGTGCGTGAACGTCACTAGAACTACTTTGAAAATGTACTTAGCATGTCCGACATTAGAAATCCACCACCGATGTAAATATTGACTGTAAAATATCATTAAGTAATATAATGGAAATAAAAAGAAAATTATAGATTTCGAGTTCGCGTTCAAATTCGTTTCATTTGTCTGGATGTAATTGGCGGCAGTCATACATGTTTATTTTACCTTTTCGCTTACGTAAATTATTCAACATGCTGTTGAAAATGTTGACGCCATATTCCGTGAACCGACGCATCATTGAAAGGAAGGTAGGTTCATCTCGCAGGGTCTGGGTCTCATTAAAGACACACCATTAATATTATTGGGGAAGCTGGATTTTTTTGTCAGGTGAATAATGTTTTCTTTCACTGCTTCAAGGCATACTAAGTTTTCTTTCACTGCTTCAAGACATACATTTTTTTCTTTTAATGCTTCAACCCATAAGCAGTTTTTTTAACTGCTTTAAGACGTTAAGTATTGTTTCATTACTACAAGACATGAAAGTTTTTTAACGACTTCAATACATACAATGGTGTTTGTTCAACGATTCGTCCTGAATCTGCAGGAGTTATGTAATGTTCTACACTTTCGCCACATTTATTTTGTAAAACACTTCGTAAGCCTAAATAGTGCTTCGATGACATTGTTCAGGAAAGAATTGTGCATTACTACACAGCACAAACTCTGATAAGGCGAAATCAACCAAATTGATAGTTTTTTTTTCTATTTTTGGTTCGGGAAAATGATAAAATAAATATTGTATACACGCATCGTCAGGGCATTCTACAGTTCCACGCTTTCTAAAACGTACTGGATTTAATCTAGCAATACAAAAGTGAACAGTGTAGTTGTTTGAGTTCAACACTTAAATGATGACACGGAGCAAAGGGAAGTCGACACATCCTTGTCAAGATTTTGATAAATACAGTGAATTCGCCGAGCATGCACGGGGAGTTCGACACATCCTTGTCAAGATTTTGATAAATACAGTGAATTCGCCGAGGATGCACGGGGAGTTCGACACAATTAGGCACATCTGATTTCGAGACAAACAAGGTTCGACTGTCACCATATTCACAAGGTGAAAACAAGGAAGTTATACTAATTGCTATTTTGACAAAAGAAAACTGTTCTTCATTTAATTTCGCCTTCCACTGTAACGGGGTATGGGTAAAGTGTGGTAATATAACCGTATAACCTTCAAGGGTATGCGTTCAACGAGCAGTATCAAGAGTAGACAAACGTATTAGCACATTATATACACTATGTTATTCACTCAAAAATGGCAAAGATAACTTTGGTCAGTTCATCTTTGGTACACAAACCACCAAGGAACATGCATACTTCCTGGACAGTGAGCGTAACAAAACGCTATAAAAGGTTGGAATTCCAGATTATAATTCTTGGTTTGTCCATACCATACCCATGCTCGTGAGGTCCATGAAATATGTCATAATACAAGACACGCATCATTTTGGACTGTCCTAAGTCATTAAGCTAAAACGCCGTGATATTGCGAAAAAAACTAACTGACCCCACACTTCTAAAAAAAACCTGGTTGCTCCCACTGAAGGAACAAGGGAAAAAGTCATTTTTTAAATGAGTGTTTTTCACATTACGAATTCAAGTCGTGGCGGAGCGGTTACTGGGTCACAACTACATCTTCTTTCCGTTTAATATGTGTTTTAGTGACGTGAATGTTCAATGACAAGAGATCCAGGCTTTGAAAGAAAGCCACGCTTTCTCCAGCAACATGGTAGGGATTTGGATACAAAGACAATCTGGCTGGGGGAGATGGGAGCAGCTGCACATTGCCGGAGTCATTACCAAGCTCCCAGACATGACTAATTGCTGAATCAAAAATAAAAACCGTCTCTAGAAAGTCAGGGCACGGGGATACTAATGGCCTGATCAAAATTCTGACAGGAACGACTTGGTTAAAGAAATGTTGCATATGAGGCTGCTTTCAGTGTTTCAAGAACCTGAATGTGTTTGACTTATAATATTATTATTGACTTATATAATACGAATGCACATTGCCTTTTATAACGTAGTCAGCTGTAACAATTGTTATATTTGAGAGTACACCTTAGTGCAATGCAAATTCTAGTACATTTTTTTGTGTTGAGTCCCTCCTGGATTCCAACTCACAATCTCGGAATTAGGCACAAATTCGCAAGCACACAAAGTCAACGCCAGGTCACGTGGCATTTGATCTTCCCAGATTGTCATTGAACATCAGTCAGGTCGGTTAACAGAAGTTATCACGACGCAATATATGCAACATACTGAACCAAATTAAAAACTTCACAATCCTCAAATTTTAACATTTTAACCAGTTATCATTATGGGCCCTTATTGTGTATTTAAACAGTAATGGCCACGTATTGTCTTCAGATAACACCCGTTTTTGTGCAGGTGAATCGATCAAAATCATGTGTACAACACTATAGTGGCAAAAGTGGTTTTTCACGTGAAACTGGTCACGTGGCCATAATACCGCACGTGTTTTCAGCCATACTTGTTAGCAGTCATTAACAAAAAAAGGAAAACAAACGAAAACAAAAGTCTTTACGGCCATTTGTCATGCCACGCCTTTCAAATGTGCAACGTGAACGTGCCATCGGCATGTTGCAGACGGGAACGTCCGTAGCTGAAGTCGCAAGGACGATGGGTTGTAGTCGACGGACTGTTTATGATTTACAGACGCGTCTACAGCAAACGGGTACCACCGCTGATCGCCCTCGGCCAGGTCGACCACGTGTGACGTCACATGCAGAGGATCGTCAGATTGTCTTACGTCACCTCCGTAACCGATTTTTGACGGCTACATCAACCAGAAATGAACTGTTTAGGGGTAGACTGAGTGCGCAAACTGTTCGAAACCGTCTGAGAACTGCTCACCTTCAAGCACGACGGCCATACTGCGGGCCGATTCTGACTCAATTACACAGACGTCAACGTCAATTGTGGGCACAGCGACACTTACGATGGACTCAGAGGAATTGGAATCAAGTCGTCTTCAGTGATGAATCCCGATTTAATCTTCGATTTACTGATGGTAGGGCGAGGTTGTGGAGGCGCCGTCATGAACGTTACGCCCAGTGTTGTGTACAGGAAATTGACAAGTGTCGGAAGTGTCATGGTGTGGGGTGCTTTCTGTGGCAATGCACGTTCCAGGCTTCTTGTCATCCGTGGCAACCTCAACGCTGCTGCTTACCGCGACCAGGTACTGGGACCAGAACTTCTGCCTTTTATGGCAGCACATGGACCCAGTTTGATCTTCCAACACGACAATGCCAGACCCCACACAGCAATTTTGACAAGGAATTTCCTTCAGAATGCGGGAGTCAACGTCATGGACTGGCCGTCAAGGTCTCCCGACCTCAATCCCATCGAACATGTCTGGGATGCTCTTGGCAGAGGTCTGGGCACTCTCCAGAACCAACCACAGAATTTGCAAGATCTTGGCACCATTTTGCAGCAACAATGGCGTCGTCTTCCCAATCATGTGTTCACAAGCATCGCAAGGTCCATGCGGAGGCGTTGTGTGGCAGTTGTCAACGCACATGGTGGCCATACACGCTACTGAACTTGTGTGCCATCAGATTCTCGTGCTTGGGACTTATGATTTAAACTGTTGATGTCATTACCGAATACCGTAGGTGCTTGGAACAAATTATGGTTACCACCGTTAATTAAAATCCTTCTTTGGACATTAATGATTAAAAATTACCTTCTCTGATGCATTTGTCCGTTGTATATCATATATGGGATAAGTTTTTAATTTGACTCAGTATATTTTCAAAATTTCTTAAACATCTTCCAATGTGTGGCAATCTATTCCTTTCGACTGTAAACATACTCATATGTTTTCCAGTGGTTCTATTTCTTATCGTTAGCATGAGCAACTATCAAACGCCATCATGAACCTGTCGAGAGACCTACTTGATGTTAGTACTTACTGTGCGTCACAGGTAACTGTTGCATCGAATGAGGGTACAAAAAGGTTATATTTGTGTCCCACTTCACACAATATTTCACTGACTATGATAAAACACGCAATAAAACATCGGTAAAACAATACATTAAAAATGTTCACCATGTTTATTGTACCAAGTTAGTCGTCTAAAAAACGGATGCTTCCTGGGTTTCTGGTATACGACAACTCTTGATATTTCTTTAACGCAAACTTCAACGTAAGTTAGTGTATTCGTTTTGTATTATATTGTGTTTTCCCTTTTTTACATCGTGTTTACGTCCTTGTTGAGTAAAGTCGCACATCAAGGCAGACGTATTCTCGTCCAATTCATTTCATGTCCATGTTGATTTCATCCCACGGCAATCGTGACATTTTGATAAATCCTTTTTCGTTGCAGCTGCTCGTAAAATAAATGTCTTAGGCGCTTGAACATTTTTTTCCACGTGTTTTTCCAGCATCATTTGGATATTGCCCTTGGGATTGGCACTTAAATAGATCGACTGTGTTTCCATTCGACGATCGAGTCAGTTGGATTTCAAGTATTTCGGTAGATTATATCGTGCTTGAGGAATGGCATTGCTAAATGATATGCGTACTGATAATCACACTCATGACAAAGGGGAACATTCAGGAATTGTGTATTGTAGTTACATGACCCTGCATCTGTCCCGTGAAATTTGAAACCTTTCATCTTATAGAAAATGATATCCACTGGAAGCTAAGAAAACGACTGGAGATCTATACGAGGATTTATGGATTGCCAGTTGCTTCTATCTTTACTGACGGGACGTGGGCCTAACCAATGCCAATACTAGCTTTGTTCCCTAGAGAGGACAATGCTCCTATGATGGCTGTAAAGGAACTGACTCAACAATCCTCCTCCTTTTGGGATTTGGGAAGAATAGTCGCAGGTATTCGAAGCTGTTTTAACTCAAGTCTGGTAGCATAGAATTTGGATTGGGAGTCAAAAGTCCTTTCGGGTGACCTGTTGAAAATGGCTATCCGGTTCTGTCCTGAGTATCCGAATGCATAGCATCTGTGTAAAGCTTTCCAAAATAACCCATCAACCAGTCCGACAAAAATCAAATTAACTCAACTAACTAGCATGTCATCGTATCCCATTTGCGTAGAACGATGT